CTAAGCGTAGTCCATTGTAAATAATAATTGTAATGTTTTGCTGACATTAAAGGTGGGGTAGGTAAGTTTGAGAAACCCCGCTCGAGATAAACTTTTTGTTATATTCCATGGAATGCTCTTAACATCCTGATAGCAATGAATATATGAAATGCTTTGACAATAAATACATAGAAATGTTCATCTGTGGAAGCCGTAGTGCTGTAAAAAGCACGACCAATCATCTGAGCCGGCCCGGGTAAAGTAACTGGATGGCCTACCTGCCTGTCAGTCTTCCATCTGTGCACAAACTTATCTCGTGCCCTCATTGGTCATGTGCGTGTTCGTGTGTTGGAGGAGGGGCTCTGTAAGGAAGTCTGAAGGAAGGGGCAAATTTCTTCCGGTTGTGTATTTTCAAATTCTAGCGCACTCGAGCTGGGTTTCTCCATTCTTACCTACCCTACCTTTTAAGTAGATACATAATGTAGTAAAATAGGTGCACTGAGCTCAGAAACACATCAAACGTTAAATATCATTGATAAAGGTTGCAATTCCTTTTGGTAGTATTGATGGGATCATCGGTGTCCAATTAAACATTGACTAACTGTCCGAAACCCTTCCTCATTTCTGCTCTCTAGAAAAATGATGGATTCGGGTCAGCTGGACTTCTATGAGCACAACACGCTGTGCACCAACACGTGTCGCAGCACCAAGTTCGACCTTCTGATCAACAACACACGCTTCCCCCCCGACGGCACAGGCACCTCCTCTCAGGGTGAGCGCACACACACACACACACACACACACACACACACACACACACACACACACACACACACACACACACACACACACACAGGTCACAACATGATGGGCTATTTTGTGATTATTTTCTGCTGTTTTACACTTTTAGTTTTGAGGCATTGTTATACCAGACTTGTATTTAAAAAAAATATATATATATATATATTCTTTAAATAATGATTTAGTGTTTCAGAATTATGAAGTATGTTCAAATTAAGACAAAGTATCTCAATTGAATGTACTCAGAATATTTAATATTTTTTTGAAAAGAATGGCTTAGTAACTAATGGAAGACTAATAATGTCAAAATAATGACTTGGTATATTAAAATAATTAGTTCACTTATTATTTTCGCCTTTATATGTGGCTGCCAAAAATCTGCTGCATGTTTTCAATGTAGCATTCAACAAAACTCACATTATCCTACGTCTTTATTTTTGTGCTTTTGAAAGGTAATTTCTTATATCTGTATGTTTAATTTGCCATAATGTGTGACGTACAGCTCAGTTGGTTCTGGGTAACGGCAGCACGGCGGGCGAGGACAGAGCCGAGACTCTGAGTGCCAAGATGGACTGGATCACCAGTTCAATGGAGGCTGCAGAGAAGAAGGAGACCAGCGAGATCTCAGGTCCCACAGAGCACACACCCACTACACAGAGAGTTCATATCACCATTACTACATTCACAGATCACACTCGGAGCACACGTGTGACTGTGCTGTGTTTGTGTCTCCACAGAGGACACGCTGAACTTCTGGAAGGGCATCGCTGATGTGGGTCTGCTGGGAGAGGTAGTGACCAACATCAGCACGGAGCTGCAGGAGCTGTTGAACGGGGTGAAGCAGCGCAGGGAGCCGGTGACCCTACAGGACACAGGTACACAGCATCACGCACTAGGGCTTTCAAAGATAACGCAAATACCTTAAAGGTCACCTATTATGCAAAATCCACTTCTTCATGTCTCCTCTACATCAACATGTGTCCCCTCTTCTTCATGTCTCTTCTACATCAACATGTGTCCCCTCTTCTTCATGTCTCTTCTAAATCAACATGTGTCCCCTCTTCTTCATGTCTCTTCTACATCAACATGTGTCCCCTCTTCTTCATGTCTCTTCTACATCAACATGTGTCCCCTCTTCTTCATGTCTCTTCTACATCAACATGTGTCCCCTCTTCTTCATGTCTCTTCTACATCAACATGTGTCCCCTCTTCTTCATGTCTCTTCTACATCAACATGTGTCCCCTCTTCTTCATGTCTCTTCTACATCAACATGTGTCCCCTCTTCTTCATCTCTCTTCTTCATCAACATGTGTCCCCTCTTCTTCATTTCTCTTCTACATCAACATGTGTCCCCCTCTTCTTCATGTCTCTTCTACATCAACATGTGTCCCTCTTCTTCATGTCTCTTCTACATCAACATGTGTCCCCTCTTCTTCATGTCTCTTATACATCAACATGTGTCCCCTCTTCTTCATGTCTCTTCTACATCAACATGTGTCCCCTCTTCTTCATGTCTCTTCTACATCAACATGTGTCCCCTCTTCTTCATGTCTCTTCTACATCAACATGTGTCCCCTCTTCTTCATGTCTCTTCTACATCAACATGTGTCCCCTCTTCTTCATGTCTAACATGTGTCCCCTCTTCTTCATGTCTCTTCTACATCAACATGTGTCCCCTCTGTGTAAAGAGACTCTGAAAGTTTCAGGAACAAAGATTCTCTCTCTTTTTGTCCTGATCCATTTCTATAAAAACCTGT